AGCAGAAGGCCCAGGGGACGGCCAAGATTAACCTGGTGCAAATATATGAAAGGGGTCTATTCCAGAATCCATTTTTCTTTTGCCGAAGCTGTCTCTGACACAGGATCGGGAACGTTGGAAGCTCTGTCTGACGCGTCTGCCTCCGCGACCCGAAAGAAGAAGCGGCGATGGAAGATGAAGACAGCTACCCAGAAACAGGCCCACTATCCGCTCCATACACTCTAGAGGAAATAAGCGTGGCACTCTTGGCCACGAAGAATAAGAAGGCTTTTGCTGGGAATAAAATTTCTCCGGCATTTCTAAAGAACTTGGGTCCGAAGGGATGACAGTGGATGGCCGCCTCTCTTTTCACGGGAATCAATACAACTGGTAAAACTTTGTCTTTCCGTCGGCGTGGCAATGTTGTTGCCCTCCAAAGTCAGAAAGACCTCTGGGAAGGTCTAAGAACTACAGACCTATCTCCTTACTGTGTACGGACAGAAAATTCATGGAGCGAACTTTTTTGATGCGGTTTTTTTCCTGTAAGTGAAGCCGCCCTCCAAGTGGCATAAGCTGGCTTTCGATCTGGACGCAGCTGTTGGGACCTTTATTGAGGCAGGATTCCAACGGAAACAAAACAATAGGGCTGGTTTTGATCGATCTACCATCGGCTTATGATATGGTCTGGCGTGACAGTCTCGTGTACAAAATTTATAGAACAATCAAGTGCCAGGAGACTCTTCGCCTTATTGCGGCCATGATTAGCGACCGCAGGTACCGCTTCTACATCGATTGGCGGGTGAGCAAGGAAAGGATCTTTATCAAGTGACTCCCACAAGGTGCAGCACTTTCTCCATCGCTGTTTAACATCTATAGCAGAGACCACTCGCCAAAAGCGTCGAAGAAATTCGTTTATGTCGATAATATCGCGGTAGCAACCGAACATACCGACTTGCTGTTGCTAAGCTGCATACTGACGTCGCTGTTATGACGCAATATTTTTACCAGTGTAAGCTATACCCAACCCCGACGAGGAATTTCGTGCTCGTTTTCCTTCTGGACAATCATTTGATCAAGGAGGAACTCACAGTTAAGTTTCGTGGTCATGTGCTTGAAAAAATGACAAAATATCGGGGCGTCACTCTTGATCGAATTCTATTATTTAAGCCAGCTCTGGAATAGACATAGCAAAAGATCAAGACGAGAATAAACTTGTTACGAAAGCTTGCCGGCACCTGGGGAGCAAGTGTCCGCGTGCTGCGTACTACGGCACTGGCGCTTGTGCATTTTGTCGGACCACTGTTCTCCTTTTTGGTGGCACAACTGCCACACGAGCAAATTAGACTCGCCGCTCAATGAAGCGATGCGAATAGTAACCGGAACCCTGAAGTCAACTCAAACACAGTGGTTACCGATTCTGGCATATACTGAACTCCCTCACTTCCGGAGGGGCAAGCAGGCGTATCACATTTTCCAGAACATTGATAAGAATCGCGAGTTACCCATCCATTGTGTTCTCCAACCGTCACCAGCACGACGCCTAAAATCACGCCACCCACCAAGGAAAAGGGCAGCGACACCGCTTCTGTCTCGAGTAACGGTGGCGAGCAAAGTGGGACACTACAGCTGCCCATAACAAAGATCTAATCTCCAACCCGACGACAGAATCCCTTTGCCTTGACTTGAATCGCCAAGAATGGTCGAGATTAAACAGGATTCGAACAGGACAAAGACGTTGTGGACACCTACTCCATCGCTGGAAGATGAAGTCCAACCCGCAATATGACTGCGGTCATGAAGATCAGACTATGCAGCACATTATTTCCGAATGTCTGCTGCGAAAGTTCGACGGCAGCATAAACAATGTCCAGAATGCTACCGCGGCGGCTATTCATTGGCTTAAAAATCTTGATACCGAACTACTACTAACTTGCTAGTCATCTTCTCCAGCCATGCGACAGAAGATCATCAGTCTCGATAACCGACCGCTTAACACATCGCAACTTTGTACGAAGATAGTAGTGACTAGAAATATGCATATCACTCGCCCTCATATGAATATAATATGAATCCATACTTTATTCATCATATTTCGTTCATGAGGTATATGAAAGGTCGCAGTGTGGATAATTTAAATTTTCAGTAGCAATTATCCTAACCTGGTCCAAAAAAGCGCTATATCGTGTATACAGGCTTAAAGAAAGATCATTTTGTTATAGAGAGTTGCAACAAACATACCGTAACTTCTAGTAACATACCATACCGTTAACGGTAAATCAGAAGTTCAAACCAAGCAGATCGACACTTCTATCCTACTAGGAAAGTCCATAACGCATATGAGTGTCATTTATATCTTGTTTGTAATTACAGTCATTTGACAAGTTTGAGCCCAGCAGTTCACGATATCGATCAGTTCCTACTGCCGCTAGTGGCGATCTGTCTTGGCTATACAAGTCATGCGTTCATGTGTTAGACGAAAACGAGCATATTTAATTCATTTATGAAGTTTAGTCGTTCAGACGCAAATAGAAAGGTCAGTTTTTTACGAAAGAATTGACAGTCGCACGGAGCAGATCTTAAAGGCGATGCAAATCTGCGGCGAACAGATCAGCACACAAAATAATGGGATCAACTCGGAAGGCTGGCATATCAATCAACATCACTGGTAAAATAGCGTAAGGCAAGTAAAACGTTTCCGTGAAATATTAACAAGCATCTGTGTATCATTCGGTCAACACGACACCTGTCAGAAATCTTCAGTCATCTAAAATTGTAATCACAAATTATTTGCTAATACGCATACTTTATCGATTAACGATTGATTACTGATTATTTTATTTTTTTTTCTCAATTGATCAACAGTTGACACGTGGGCAGAGCAAAGCCAGATCCGTGATTACAACTGATCAAAAGTTTTTCACTATAGCTGTCATTCAAGACTGAGTAATTTGCTCGTGCGTTGGTTGGTATTGATAATGACAACTAAAAAATGCATAGAAAACGGTTTGTTAAACACAAATGGCCTAAATATTCAATCCTGCAAAAATGTAACTGAGACAAAGGCTACCAACTCTATGCGGGTTTGACTAGCCTTAACAAACCCGTGACCCAAAAACTACTTAGGCAGCAACTTAGGATAAACACGCCTTCGGTTCCAGACGCTACATCCGCTGCGCGTTACATAAGCAACTGCAGAAATCAACTCCGACCACCTTGAAGAAGGCTTGTGAGAGACGGGCCGAAACGTCGGTACTGATTAATTACGCGGATGATCAGCTTATTCGTTTGTGTTGTGTATTAGTAAACCATCTTAACTATTTTTTACTTTATAATTGTTATTCATTGATGATGACCGATGCTAGTGAGATCCAAAAGTCTATATAATAATTTTTGCTGCTTATGCTGCTGAACACGGAATAAAAATATTTTGCAAATTTGCACAGCAGAGCCACCCACGTTAGCCTTAATAAATACTAAAAAATGTCTGAAAAAGATAAGTCGAGTCAGGCACCATTTGCAGCTGCGTTAAATGTCATTTTCCACATCACAGTCAGGTGCCCCTATTAAGTGCTTACGTTAGGAGCAACGGTCTCCAACGGGATTGAATGCAATTACGTTTTACAACATGCGTGATGATGATGATTTTCAACACAAATGAAAAAATTACACAAAATACTTTATCCAGTTAAGCCTGCGTTTAGTCAAGAGTGTACGAAGAATTCTTAAGGTCAACAAAATGGAGATGTGGATGCGTAGACTGTGTGCGAAGCACACATAACAGTCTGTCTGTGTCAGATCGTATAGCTGAAATGGCGTTACTGACGGAGAAATCAGTTGTAGCCAACCAATGATTTGGATGCTTATGATGGAGTCCACACCAAAAAATTAACCGTACTACATACGTGGCCGGATGTGTTTCTGCTAGGTCAAGAAAATTCCATAAATTTTTACTGAAGTGTTAAATGTGGCGTAGATGGCGAATATTTCTTTCCGTCTATAGCGTCGAAAAATTTTTATTACGTTTTCAGTGCCTTTCTATATTTCCGTTATGACAGATTCCTTACATCGAAAAAATAGAGAAGGATCACTAACAATGATTTTCTGTTCAAAATCCAAAGAAATTAATTTCCATTAATATAAAGTGCAGCCAAAAGAACAAGTAATGGAAAAGTATCGATACAGCTGTTTGAAAATCGTCCATACCATAAGCTAGTGTGCTGTGAACATGTGGAATTTTACGCCATGGGTGTGACAAAATATTTTCATTTAATTCCAAACAGCTTATATTATCCGTTTCCTCTAAATGAGATGAGCACAAGAGCGATATATATCATTAGCCACGATAATTAGAAAAGCGCTTTGTCAGGACACGGAAAGTTTATCACATTGTAAACGCAGGTATCCTCAATGTATTTTTAGTTTTCGAAACAACCATACCAACGCAAGCAAAGGAGACACAAATAAAGAAGATTAAGGGTTGCAAGCTTGTTCAAATACAAAGGGACTGCTGTTGAAATACATAATTTTATACTGTAAAGAAAACATTTAACGACACACACGCCAACCGTGCATACATATGTCAGAGCAAACAAATGAGTCATCGTTTTAAGAATGGGAGAGAAAAAGCATTTCCCCCATTCCACACTAGGCCTAAGCCATAAAACTAAGAAAAGCACAACACATGACATCTGCCGATGTGATTTAACAGCATAGGAACTACTGCTAAACTGAAGCTTGCAACATGATGGCGTCAATTTCTAACCAACGTTGTGTTCCAGAAATACACTTAAACATTCATTCTGTGACTGCGGCAGAAACTGACAATATCCACGATGTCACACATTCCACAAAATTGGATAGTCCCAGATTGCTCAGTATGACAGTCCGGCTAGGACGATTTTAAAGAAGTAGATTCAAAGCATTCATGGCACAATGATTAGCCACAGTTACTTGGCTACTGTGTTGGTCGATAATGGTCAGGATGCTCAGAGGAAATCATAGGCAAATTGGGCGAATGCAAACTGACTCTGGCAGGAAATAACCTATTCGCAATTTCTACTTCATATTTTGCATCCGAATCGCAGATATAATCGGCCGTCACGATGTCGTACTTTCCACCATTGCTTGCTTTGAACACGTAGCCCAAACATACCTTAAAGCAGAATGTCATACAAGTGAATTTTATGGATCAAATTTTGCGAACGGTGGCAGCTTACTTGGCAGCCAAGAGTGAACGCATAAGCAGAACTTGTAGTGAATCCGCAGAAAATGCCGTCACGATAAATAGGTTCTCTTCCTTGCGGCCATGGGTCGGTGTGTAAATTATGATCTTTTAGGAGCAACTGTACGTACAGACGCTTAACGCCGTGTTCCTTCTGTTGTAGCAGTGCCTGCTTGCCGATGAAATCCTTTTTGAAATTTACGCGAAAAAGTCTACCACACTCGGCTGGTGACGTAGTAGCGTCAATATCTGTTCCCCAGTATACATAGAACTTTTCGATTCTTAACGTTCTCAGAGCGTAGTAGCCGGCCAGCTGCAGGCCATAACTTTCGCCATGATGTAGCAGTCGTTCGAAACAGTACTGAGCAAACTTAAATCAGAACTATGTATAAATGACGAAGTTCAAAACTCGCTGCAACAAGTAGAAATTGATGTCTTGGTCAGCAACAGTGATACCATTTGCAGACTTTGGCTTGCTCGACAAAGTTCATTATGCATTTATAATGCTAAACGCAATAAATCTCTACAAGACGCTGCAAAAAATTGGTGTAGGCGTGTTTAACCTAGCTTCTACTACTTTTGTACCAATGATCATTCATTGCATTTAAGTCATAAAATGACATTTGTTTGCATTAGTTTTGTCTATACGGGACTATCTTTCATCGTTTACCTGAACCTTGCCCTCGCTTGACGTCAGCGAAACAGTTCTGCGATTAGCAGTCCCCATCAGCAGCACAGAAAATGACTTCGAACCGAGCATTTTCAGCGACTGCAGCCGAAGACAGGTTCCGCATCGCATGAAGGAACATAGGAACATATGAACAGTGAATGGGGACGAACTAACTG